TTTTTATCTACAGAGGGAGTTAGTCCTCTCTCCACCGTGTTAAACTGCCATGCAGCCCAGAATGGACTAACTAAACACTGGCTATATTTAGACCACTGGCTATATTTTATATTTTCGCAAGCTTGTGGCCACTGTAGTTTCTCCTACACACTTGGAAGGCTGAGCTGTATTTAAGTGGTTGCAATCTGCAACTTCACCACTAGATGCCACTGAATTCTGCACACTGGACCTTTAAAATATATTTTAAAATGTTTTATGTGACTGTTTTGCTGAACTAGTCCAATAGTTTTCCACAGTGTTTCAGGATGCACATAAAAGGGTAACTCCACCAATTGTATACATCAAAGTCTGTTTACAGGTATTAGGAAAGACTACTGCATATCTGAAAAGAGTGTGGAGTTAGATGCATCATCATCATCTCAGCTTAAGGCTAGTTGATTGAGGCTACATTAGCCACGGCTAGAAAAACACACTCAAATCTCCAACCAAACTGTCAGTTGTTGAGTTGCGTTATGGGTAATGTAGCAGGTTTTGTCAAGGAAGAAAAATCTGTGGAATAAAAAAGGTGCTATCTCTGATTAAAAAATTGTGATGACATATTGTTGAATATGAAGTGTTAAATAGCATTTTATGGTATTTTAATGTTGGCATAATTTGTTTTTATCTCTTCTCAGGAAATCACCCCCAGATGCGAGTGAATGTTAAACCTACAAGGTGACTGCTGTTTTTTCATGTAAACAGGATAGTTAAGGCACTAAGGCTTTACGATGGCAGACAAAACAACCACAGCCTAATTTTATTTTGAAAGAAAGCCAATAACACTTTTCACAGTATGTATATGCCTACACTTTTCACACATTTCCAGACAATAAATGTAATTGTTCCCAACCATAATTGACCTCTCTGTCATGAAGTATTTCGGTTTTGATTAAGACCGCCCATCTGCTAGTAAAACACGTAGGCTATCTGATTTTGATCCATTGATTGATGCTTTTGCTGTGCCAGAGAGACAGGAGAGAGTGAGTACAAATGTGGGTTTAATCCATGTCAGCATATCAATTGGTAAGCAGTAGAAGAGGCTACGCAGTGCGCAATGTAGACAATAAAGACAGAAGCATGAACAACACTGAGCATCCATGGCTGTGTAAGATTTGAAAGCACAGGAACACAAGATGAATAATTCTAAATGGATTTGTCAGCCACAATAGTAACTACTGTTAAATCTGTATTATGCAATAACTTAGTAGACCTAATAACTGTAACACTCCAGAATGAAAGCTTCCTATAATTGCACAATAACAAGGTACAACAAAAAATAACTCCCATACATACTGTAGATGGGAGTTGACTTTTAAAATCTCAGCCTGCTCAAGATAAAGTGACAATGACAGAGCTGATTTACCGTAGGTGACAGAGACCAAAAATATATGGATGGTGCCCCTTCTGTATTTTTTTAACAGTTTATCTTACTTGTGTACATTGTGCTGTTCACGTCCAGAAAAGCAGTTCCACTGGTTTATGGCATAAATCAATGTCATTATATTTATTTGTAACTCTATTTATAATAAAAACATAACAAAAGCTAAGTTCTTATATGCAGACACAGCATGAAAAGATGTTTTTAACAATAATACAAACTACAAAACAGGAAGCAAAAGTGGCAAACTGTATGTTAAAGGATTAACATGATTTTAACATTGAATATAATATGAGACAATAAGTTCAACAAATTAAGCAATTCTCCACTTATGGCTGTGTGATTTGGCCTTCACGGTGGACTTTACCAAGTACCTCTCAGAGCTGAACATCAGGCTCCACAGTACCAACCAGCTTCCCTGCTCTCTGCTTTCAAATAGGAAATAATTTGAAAGATGTGGCAAGTGAAACTGGAAAAGGGAAACACTGCATTTTCGTACCCTGCAAGAACAAAAGCCTTCTTTAACATCTGAACATGCCCAAAGTTTACATCTCTGCTCAGGTGTGAACAGTTCCTTTCAAAACTGACTTTTGCAAATACTTTGTTCCTCTCAACGGTGAAAGACCCAAACCTGGAAACCAACTGTGAGAAGAAGCATCTAACACCTTGCCAAAAAGTTTGAGCAATCACATTGAGGTTAGTGATATATGTGTTCAATAATTAAGTATGGCCCTCAATGTTATACCTGCCCTAGACAGTCAACACTACAGTTGAGTCATTGTGATAAGACTGGGTTTCTTACTGATTAAATTAATATTAGGGAGTCATAATTGATCCCTCCCTCTTATTGAACTTCCGATAACACTTATCTGGTACAAGCCCTGTGAGTCATATTAAGGAAATAAACAGGGGCAGAGATCAAATTTCATGGTTCGTTTAGCAAAGGATCATTTCAGTATATTATAAAAAAAACATGTAAGATTACTCTTGCATATTTAGTTCACATAAAAATGTAGTATTTGCACACCTTATTTATATGGATTGAATAAGAACGGATCGTTATGACATTTACACAATCAATGGAAGAGGTGAAGATTTTTCGGAACATACTAGCCACTGTGGCTCGATGGAACTGAAAATGATGGCCAGTTGTAAAGACATACAGTGAGTTCATGGGAAACACGGGAAGCTGCACAATGTGTGGCTTTGAATAA